AAAGATGGGCTTTAAAGTAAACCAGTGGCCAATTAATGGATATTCAAGTATTTAGCTTTTATTAAAGCGGAATTAAAGTCAATCAAGATGGCCAAAGGCTGGCATCTGAAAGAAGCTGTGGAGAAGATGCCAGAGCCGGAGGGGGACTACTCAGGTGTCAGAGCTAAGGTAAGTATGTCAAACTTTAGTTTTGCTTTAGAAAGCAGTAAATTAACTTGCCTCTTTAGCTACAGGTACTGAGAAGTGATTCATTTTTAAAGTTCATTGTGGAAGTTGTTCTCTCTCTAAAGCTCAGCTCTCCCTCTCAGCATTGATTCAGCAGCCTTTTGATCTCTAATGAAAACGCAGAGCAGGTGCTATGGACTGTAGAATGAGCAGAGATGCTGAGAGGATAACTTGAAAAACCTCAATGCTTTTAATTGTAAAGCTGAGGAAGAATTTCTCCACAGTACATGCAGCTAAACAGGTCAGTGAGTACATGCAATACCATGCTGCACTGCGGAGTTTTAACATACACTTTTCCCTACACTTCCTAGAACATGTGATATGTCTACAGCATGGCAGAGGAGACACAATTGTACTGGCCTGCTGTTTTTCCTCTGTGTTAATGGTCATTACATTGACACACATTTTCATGCATTGTCTTGAAAAAGTAGGGCTTGTGCAAACCCAGTGCAAACCCATGCATATCAGTGCAATGCACCAGTGTAAACAGATCTCATTTACATACTTTATTTTTTTACAGTTCTTTGCATTGACGCTTGTTAAAAAAATGTTCAAAATATGTAAATACTCAAATGTCCATACTCTGGCCACAGGTGCATTTAAAGCAGTATCCTAAAGTGCAGGACGTCCTTTTGAGCAGCCAGGAGAATCATGAGAGATTCCAGGGGTGTGTAGAGCTCTTACTTGGAGATAAAGTCAAAATTTGAAAAATGAATGTTCCCTTGTTTAAAAGACTCATGTTAGTAAATGTACAAATCTGGAGTGCTCTTTGGGGATTCTGTTTCATTTTTTTTATGAAAGGTTTACTTTAAAGTCCAATTTCATCTTTGAATACAAATGGCTAATTTCCCTCTGTTGTGCTCTCTGCATATAATGCTTTTGTTAGAGATTCTGTACATAGCCCTACAGAACAGACAATGCACAGTCCACATGTGTTTATGTGCTGATTCTCTGCAAACAGAAAACAGGAACTTTATTGTAGAGAAAAGACACAGAGTTTATCATAGATGCAGCTACAAACGTATAAACACTGCCATCTACTGGTTGAAGAATATATCTCTACTGAATACTGATACTGAGAGTAGCTGTTGCACAAAAATACACAAACAATGTATTCCAACAGCTTTTTTTTTTTTTTTTTTTTATTCTGTTGTACTTGCCAGAAAATTTTCCACCAAATGGCACTCACGTGACCTCAGACTTATGCAGGCCATACATGGGTTGAATCCTGAACGATTTTTCATCCGAAAATCGAAAACGTTGTTCGCTCGGTAATCCGATCGTGCCATCAATGATTTCGAAAAGCGGCTTACCACGTCATAAAGTTCACCCCATATAACAGGAAGTGATGTCATTTTGGACTTTTCATACCCTCCCCCACTATACAGAGAGGCTGACTGAAAGAACATTGTAATTGTTTCGCATGCACGAAAAATCTTTCCGAACGACACTATATTGCACGACAAAGCCCAGCAACATCTCCAAACGAAAAATTGCCATAATGGTGCTTGGCTTGGTAGCACTGGAGGAGTAAAAAAAGAAAAAAAAAAAGGAAGAGCAGGATATGGTTCAAAGACTGGCTTCTTCAACGGGCCATGTTTTCCCACATGAAACTGCCATCAAATTTAAGAGGAAACAATCCTGACGATTACAAAAACTATTTAGTACAGGCAAATCTTCTTTTCCTTCTCATGCGCATATTGTTTTTGGAAAAACGATCGTGCGATGTGACCATCATTGAGTCAAAAATCGGTAGTTTTTCACAAATTTTCCAACATGCCCAATCACCGAAAAGAAGAGGAACCACGAAAATCGGCTGGTGCCATTGACCCACTAACAGAGTGAAAATCAGCCAATTATTCTTAGGTTCGATTTTCTGAAGAAAAATCGGTCGAATTTCGACCATTGTATGGCTGGCATTATGCTTGGTCTTCTATTCAGCAGTGTCCTGTGGAGAGAGTGGAGCAGCTTACACACACCAGTGATATGTACTGTCTGGCTGGCTACAATTTTCTTTGTGGTACAAGGGGGTGGAGCTGTGACGGCCTGAGAACTTACTTTCAGGTTGAGTGTGGATAGAGGTCAGTTATGCAGGCCATACATGGGTCGAATTCCGAACGATTTTTCGTCCAAAAATCAAAAACGTTGTTCGCTCAGTCATCCGATGGTGCCATCAATAATTTCGAAAATCGGCTGACCAAGTCATAAAGTTCACCCCATATAACAGGAGAAACTTCTGTTCCTTCCAGGTCATGGCTCATGCGCATATTCTTTTCGTAAAAACAATCGTACGATTTGACCATCATTGAGTCCAAAATCGGTCGTTTTTCACGAATGTTCGACCATGCCCGATCACCAAAAAGGGGAGGAACCACAAAAATAAGCCGGTGCCATTAACCCACTAACAGAGTGAAAATCAGACGATTATTCTTAGGTCCGATTTTCAGATGAAAAATCGGTCGAATTTCGACCCATATATGGCGGTCCTTAATCTGGACAAAGGGCGACAACTACTGAGTATTCTGTAGGGGACAGCACCAAAATATTGCAGCAAAAGCAGCACTTTATTTTTCACAGGGGTTAGAGAATTAAAAAAAGATTTTTATTTGGAAGCTTGATTTGGGCTTTGAATCCCCTACATGTTTATCAGCTGCATAAAGTAACTCAGACCAGGAGCTCAGGACGCAGCTCTGTGTCTAGACACTGCAGGGAGGTATCCAATATGGTAGAGCCTAGGGAGATGGTTATTATTACATTACAACAGAAATCCAGGCACTGACAGACTTGACAAAAATATGTTACTTTGTCAAATTAGTAATGTGTTTCACATCCAAGCATTCTTTTGTAGGTGACAGATTCTTTTAAATGTAAATGTGCAAATACATTTCAGAATGTTCAATAAGCATAAGAATAGAATAATGATGGAAGATTATCAGCAAGCACTATTTTCAGGTACCTATTCCTAAATATAGATGTGTTTATCTCAGGTAGGGTTAGAATTAGAGAGGCACCTTTCAGTCTAGTGTTAGTTTATCCCCATGGTAAATAAAAGTTACATAGGGCCACAGCAGGAGCACAAGTGTACTACTGTTAAGACACATTCATAGGGCACTGCATAGTAATGTCAGCTCATAAAAAATAAAAATTACAGAGCTCACTGCAGATGTTATGAGCTCCAGATGCAGATTAGTATCCCTAAACATACATTTAATGATGCCCAGATGCTAGCAGATGAAACCATAGATGTATGGTCAAATCTGATTTCTCTAGACATTAGGAATCTCATAGCTAAAACTATCTAGAACTACCTTTTGAATGATAAAACATGCCCATAGAGTTGGCACCTTTTGGGCCTCTGTTTGTAGGCTTCGATGAGCAAATGCAGTGTACTTTTGACATCAGACGTCTTCTGGGATCATTTCGAATTTTGACCCAATTTAACCACTTGCCTACCAGGCACTTATACCCCCTTATTTACCAGGCTAATTTTCAGCTTTCAGCGCTGCCGCACTTTGACAATTGCGCGGTCATGCAACATTGTACCCATATGAAATTTTGATCATTTTTTTCTCACAAATAGAGCTTTCTTTTGGTGGTATTTAATCGCCACTGGGCACTTTACTTTTTGCGCTATAAATAAAAATTGCCAAAAATTTAAAAAAAAAAAAAAAAGTTTCTTTGTTTCTATTATAAAATTTTTCAAACAGGTAATTTTTCTCCTTCACTGATGTACGTTGATGAGGCGGCACTGATGGACACTGATAGGCGGCACTGATGGGCACTGATAGGCAGCACTAAAGGGCACTGATAGGCAGTACTAATGAGGTGGCACGGATAGGCGGCACTGATAGACAGCACTAATGAGGTGTCACGGATAGGCGGCACTAATATGCAGCACTGATAGGCGGCACTGATAGGTGACACTGATGATGGGTACTGATAGACGGCACTGACTGGCATCACTGCTGGGCACTGACTGGCGGCACTGACTGGCACAACCGCTGGGCACTGACTGGTGGCACTGACTGGCAGCACTGCTGGGCTGCACTGGTGGGTGGCACTGGTGGGCAGCACTGGTGGGTGGCACTGGTGGGCACAGGTGGGTGGCACTGCTGGGCACAGGTAGGTGGCACTTCTGGGCACAGGTGTGTGACATTGCAGAGTGGCACAGGTGGGTGCACTGCTGGGCACAGGTGGGTGATCTGCTGGGCACAGGTGGGCGGAGCTAGTGGGCGCACTGCTGGGCACAGGTGGGCGGAACTTGCGGGTGGCACTGCTGGGCACCGATCATCAGGGCACTGATCATCAGTGCCCTGATGATCGGTGCCGATCCCCGCTCTGACAACTGCCGGTTCTCGGCAGTACTTTCCTCACGATCTGACAGCGTGAGGAAAGTGCAGCCGAGAACCGGCACTTGCATTTCCCTCTGATCAGCGTGTCATTAGACACCACTGATCAGGTGGTAAATGGCCGCTGTGATTGGCCTTTTACCACATCACGTGATCAGCTGTGTCCGCAGGAGAGCGCGTTCTGGGGGGCGTCATATGACGTCCACTCAGAACTGGCCGGCCGCAGTGCAGCCGTCATTCGGCTATCTGCGGTCGGCAACAAGTTAAAGTGTTACTAAACCCACAACAGTAAAATCAGTCTGTATATGCAGTAAAGCATGCTTGTTATACTCACTGTGGAACCGAAGGGGTTAATCCTCTGAATTGTGTAAAAAGGCTGTTTGATTGATTCTGTCTTCTCTGATCCTCCCCTTCTTCCAGAGTCCCCTTCTTATCTTGTGATAAGACATATTGATTGGAATCACTCTGCACATGCACAGTTTGTTTTTTTTCCTTGGGAGAGTGCATGTGATCAGCACAGGGCCAATCAGCACTGTCCAGACAGAGGTCGGGGTTCTGAATCTTCCTGGAGCAAAATGAAAACTCCTCCTACAGTGTCCCCCTCTTATTTCTGATAAGACATATTGAGTGGAGTCACTCTGCACATGCTCAGTTTGGTTTTTTCCTTTGGAGAGTGCATGTGATCAGCACAGGGTCAATCAGTGCTGTCCTGACAGAGGGTCCTTCAGCCTCAAAGGACAATCAGAGGAGAATGAAAACTCCTCCTACAAGCTTTAACCAGTGCTTAGCTGGACACTGGTAGAAGTCACAAAACTGTTCTAACTGTTGATGAGAAACAGTGTTTAGCAGTTTATATTTACTAAAATAATTGCACTTCCATATTCTGTGTACTGTGGGAGGCCAGATAGAGTGAATACAGGATCCAGGGTTTAGTAACACTTTAAGTTGCTTTTGCATTCCTACAGACTTATGGGGGGAGAAATTGTCCTAAAGCAAACAAAAGCTCACTGACACAGCCCTTAAAGTGACTCATGAGAGAAGTGCAGGGGCTGTTTGTTTCAGGCACAGCCCAGGAACAAGCATGCTGTAAATTACTGTCAGGACCACTTGTCCCTAAACTTGTATCAGGTCAGTGACAGCATTGAAGTCAAAGCACCAGAATGACAGCTAGAATACTAGCATTCCCAAAGGAAAATTCAGTAATGGCAGCTTCCATTAATCTCTCATGACAGTTTCCCTTTAAGTTCTCCGGCAGCCTGACATCCATTCAATGAGTAGTGATAAAGTAATGCGGCAAGTCATGACTTTACCCCGTTTGCAGAGAACTCTCTGTATTACAACCCATCTTTACCAAGGATGTACTCTGCATATACTGCATACTCTGCATATATTTTATTTTATTTATTTATTACAGGTACTTACATAGCTCAGTCAATTACCAGCATTTCATACAGTGGATATAAAAAGTCTACACACCCCTGTTAAAATGTCAGGTTTCTGTGATGCAAAAAAAATGAGACAAAGATAAAGCATTTCAGAACTTTTTCCACCTTTTAATGTGACCCTATAAACTGTACAACTCAGTTGAACAACAAACTGAAATCTTTTAGGTGGAGGGAAGTAAAAATGAAAAACTAAAATAATATGGTTGCATAAGTGTGCACACCCTTAAACTAATACTTTGTTGAGGCACCTTTTGATGTGATTCCAGCACTCAGTCTTTTTGGATATGAGTCTATCAGCATGGCACATCTTGACTTGGCAATATTTGCCCACTCTTCCTTGCAAAAACACTCCAAAGCTGTCAGATTGCGAGGGCATCTCCTGTGCACAGTCCTCTTCAGATCACCCCACAGATTTTCTATTGGATTCAGGTCTGGGCTCTGGTTGGGCCATTCCAAATCTTTAATCTTCTTCTGGTGAAGCCATTCCTTTGTTGATTTGGATGTATGCTTTGGGTCGTTGTCATGCTGAAAGATGAAGTTCCTCTTCATGTTCAGCTTTGTAGCAGAAGCCTGAAGGTTTTGTGCCAATATTGACTGGTATTTGGAACTGTTCATAATTCTCTCTACCTTGACTAAGGCCCCAGTTCCAGCTGAAGAAAAACAGCCCCAAAGCATGATGCTGCCACCACCATGCTTCACTGTGGGTATGGTGGTCTTTTGGTGATGTGCAATGTTGTTTTTGCGCCAAACATATCTTTTAGATAAAGTTCAACCTTGGTTTTATCAGACCACAATACGTTTTCCCACATGCTTTTAGGAGACTTCAGGTGTGTTTTTGCAAAGTTTATCCAGGCTTGGATGTTTTTCTTCATAAGAAAAGGCTTCCGTCTTGCCACCCATAGCACAGACATATGGAGAATATGGGAGATTGTTCTCACATGTACCACACAGCCAGTACTTGCCAGATATTCCTGCAGCTCCTTTAATGTTGCTGTAGGCCTCTTGGCAGCCTCCCAGACCAGTTTTCTTCTCGTCAATTTTGGAGGGATGTCCAGTTCTTGGTACTGTTGTGCCATATTTTCTCCACTTGATGATGACTGTCTTCACTGTGTCCAATGGTATATTAATGTCTTGGAAATTCTTTTGTACCCTTCTCCTGACTGATACCTTTTAACAATGAGATCCCTCTGATGCTTTGGAAGCTTTCTGCAGACCATGGCTTTTGCTGTAGGATGCGACTAAGAAAATGTCAAGAAAGACCTACTAGAACAGCTGGACTTTATTTGGGGTTAATCAGAGGCACTTTAAATGATGGCAGGTGTGTACTGACTCCTATTTAACATGATTTTAAATGTGATTCCTTAATTCTGAACATAGCTACTTCCCCAGTTATAACAGGGTGTGCACACTTATGCAACCACATTATTTTAGTTTTTCATGTTTACTTTCCCCCCTAAACAATTTCAGTTTGTTTTTCAATTGAGTTATACAGTTTATAGGTCACACACTAAAGGTGGAAAATTCTGAAATGATTTATCTTTGTCTCATTTTTTTACATCACAGAAACCTGACATTTTGACAGGGGTGTGTAGAATTTTTATATCCACTGTATATATAGTACATTCACATCAGTCATTGCCATAAAGCGTTCTAAAGCTGGACACACACAATTTAACTGTTCAGACTAATCATCACAACATGCAGCTACTGGCAATATCCTACAAATGTACAATTAGATATGACAAATCTATATCCATGGAGAAAGTCAAATCACTGGATCACAAAGTGGTTAATTTGCAAACAATGTATATTAAATGTTTATATTGGCCATGGCAGCACTCCGAAATCTGATTTCCTACTATAGATAACAGTGGCACTGCAATTCCCACCAGTATTAATAGCTTTCTTAAATCATCTCCTACCTACCTTTTCTATTCCCCATGTATACACCAGGGCTTTATTGGCTCACATCCAATGAACACCTTTTATTTACCATATATTTGGGCCAAGGATGTATAAAATGTTCAAAAAAGACCAGTAATGGGGTTGATTTACTAAAACTGGAGAGCGCAAAATCTGGGGCAGCTGTGCATGGTAGCCAATCTAACTTCAGCTTGTTCAGTTAAAGTGTTACTAAATTCGTGTCCCTGCATTCATTATATCTGATCTCCCACAGTACACAGAACATGGAAATGCAATTATTTTAGTAAATATGAACTGCGAATTACCTTTTCTCATCAGCAGTTAGAGCAGTCTTGTGACTTCTATCAGTGTCCAGCAGAGCACTGGTTAAAGCTTGTAGAAGGAGTTTTCATTCACCCCTGATTGTCTTATGAAGCTACATTACCCCTGACCCTCTCTCTGGATAGTGCTGATTGGCCCTGTGCTGATCACATGCACTCTCCTTAGAAAAAAAACAAACTCTAGTAATACACACCAAACTGAGCATGTGCAGCTTGCCCCTGTTCTATTAGCAGATGGATTTGGAACAGTAGAAGAAGGGGAGGATCAGGGAAGACAGTATCAAACATCTTTTTTACACAATTCAGAGGATTAACCCCTTAGATTCCACAGTGAGTATAACAAGCATGCTGTACTGCATATACTGTACAAACTGATTTTACTGTTGTAGGATTAGTAACACTTTAGCCTTTGACACAAAAAACTGGAAGCTGATTGGTTTTTATGTGGAGCTGCACCAGATTTTACACTCTTTAGTTTTAGTAAATCAACCCCAATGCATTTGAGGTCAGTCTGTCTTTTACACTCCTCTTGAGCATTAGGCCTCATTCACACAGGCGTACCAATTCATACACCCATGTGAAGGGCCATTTTCAACCACCCAGAATGCACAGGTGTTCCATACAGGAAGCCTGTTGAAATCAGTGACAGGTACTGATCGCCATACACTTTCCAGAGTGCACAGTTGTGTGGGTCCAAAGCACAGATAAAGATGCAGACAGACTAGTGTGAATGAGGCCCCATAGTGGGAATTTCTTTAATGGTTCTGCCAAAGTTTCTGTAATTCAGTCCAGCCAGTATATCCAGTAGGGTGACAATGGTACTCAATAAGGCAGGTGACACAGGAAACTGCAAAGCTAGACAGGGAAACATTGTTGGCACTTGACTAGCTATATGATATGGCAGAAGAATGTGAATTAAATATTTGGTGGATAAAACTGTCCATATAAACAAGCTTTTGGATATTTATATAGTTTTTCTAAAGTGTCACTTTAAAACGCAGTAGCTGGGGAGTAATTCAAGGTCCAGCAGATAATGCAGCTGTCCATAGGACCAGGAGGTCAAAGCATTCAAGCATATCAGCTTCCCCTCCTTATTTAACCACTCTCATTATTTTCTGTGCAAAATAAAGCAGCATTCTTCTCCCTTCACTTCCCTTCGTATGCTCTGTGATCTACTCTTTCAGCATCTAATAGGCTTATAAGGCTTACTGAAAAAAACAAGTCATTTTGCTCCAGTTTCTTACAAGCGAGCAGTCCAAGAGCAGGTTTTGCAAAGGTTTCTTTGGCATTTTGTTATACCTCTTTTTGGGCACACCAGTTTAGAAGCCAATCAAATGAATCCACAATAGGTAGTGTCCTGAGCATTCGTTATTTTATTTGAAAAAAAAAAAACACATTGGCATCTAATACTGATGGGTCAGCCTCATTTTTGTTATATGGGAGAACCATTCACTTAGGACAACATCTCAAGGGACACATTAACCAATACTGCTCAAGCAATATGTTAGCAGTCACTTATATATGTTTAGTCATAGAAAATGTGCCAAAGACAACCACAGACAGTACACAAGGCAATAAACAAGAAACAAATATGGGAAACAATGGAAGTTAACCATTAGATGTTACAAGTACTTTATACACACGTAAATTTATTGTTCAATATCCACTATAAAAAAAAAATCCCAAGGAAATTGACTTCTTCAGGGGGTGAAAGTAAGGTATTGATTGTACAAATTCTTAACAGCAAAACTGTACTTGTACCACTTCAAAACAAACAGAAACGCTACACTTAGACTGATTGTGCGTCCTCATAATAATTCAAAGGACAAATTCTAGAGCTCCTTCCCAGACAAGCAGATGGCATAGGCTGTACCAAGCCTTACAGAACAGACTATACCATTCCATAAAATTGTCCGGCATAGGTTGCTCCATCAAATGTAAAAAAAACAAAACAAAAACAAACAACAAAAATGAAAAGGTTAGGAATGTACCATACATAATATAAAATAAACATTAAAACTATAAGCATGATATCTAATTAGGAACAGACAGATGTACCATATAAAACCATATAAGGGTTTTTAAGGAATAATACATCTCAGGTCTCTCTTTGCTATGGCGTCAAAACACTTTTGTGGAGATTGTCTCCATTCTTTGCTGTGAATCTCATTCTTTCCTGTGGAGAGGATACAATCAATACATCTCTTTCATAAACACATCTCCCTCAGGCTTCCAGGCA